AAATTTACTTTTATTAAAAGAAAACATGGTAACTTTTCTTTTGTTGCTCAGTTTCCCTCAATTTAAAGTTCTACACAGGTCATGGCTTAAAGGATTTTAAATTTAACAATAGTCCAATAAAAGCAAAATTTAACCAAGCATTCTCTTTCAGTTCACAAATTTATTTTTGACATTTTCTTCATTTCTTTCTGATATGTCCTAAATGGTAGAAAGTAACCCTTTCATTACAGTTATTAAGTGTGTGATTTTTTAATGTTGAGATACAAATTTGAATTCATTTGAATCCTAGAAAGTACAAAAGAGTAAAATGCACAAAAATCTACAGAAGGAACAAAAATACAAGATATGAAAACCCCTACTCCTCTTCATAGTGCTATCAGGATCCAAGCTATGGCCCTGAACTTCAAATTTTAAATGTTAATATTATTTTTTAAATTATGTAAAATATTTCCTACTTTCCAAACATTTAGAAATAGCTTTCTTTGATAGATTGCCCCCAAAATACTCAGATCCATTTTATTTATAGAATTATACCTAAAATTCTACTGGTTTATGTTCGATAGAAATTAAAGATGACATTCCATTGAATAACCTCAGATTACATAATAGGACAACTACTCTCACGTGTAAACACAGTACATAGTTTTTTCCGCACAGGACTTTCTTATAAACTTGCACTCACACAGGAATTTCATCTAAACTTACACTTGAGAAACTTTCTTGACAAAAAAAAAAAAAAACCAAACAAAAGTGATCTCTCTCCATTAAGAAGATTAAAAATATTAAAATTTCCAAAAGAACAATTGGGTAACTGCTAAGACTGGACTTGCTATATGGTCCATGTGTGGCAACCAAAGCTTTCCAGCAAAATCCCAATCTGAGCCCCGCGCTGAGCAGAAAGCTCTCATTGGTTTCCTGGACACAGCACAGAGCCAGATTCTTCTCCATTGACAAAGACCCCGGAAGCCCCGTGGGTAAGTGCCTGGCCATCAGATGGGGCAGCCCATGCATGGACTCCACCCCTGAACTACATTTCCCTGAGGATGGCAGGGATGAGGCTCTTTAAGTCTTCGGTCTTGCAACCGATGACCCGCAGGCCTGCTAAGGGTGTGTGTTGCTGTGTGTGAGGGAGCAGCTCCCGCTTGCAATGGTTACTAATTGTGGACCAACCCAACATGGGGAAGCAATGAATCACCTCAGACATATGCCTTTGCTTTCTTTATGCATCATTTTTCTAACCAAATACTCTTTGGAATATCCTGAATCCTTTGCTTAAAGTTTGAAGTTTCCCCGTGATTTAACATTGATCCATGCAACCCACTTAGAGCATGAGGAGAACCACAGATTTTATCCTCAGGATTTATTCATTTGCAACCCTCTTGGTAGAAAACACAGAACAGAGTGTTAGCCCAGCAAGGTTGCTGTAAATTGTCACCCTTCCAGATGTGGGGGAGATTCTCATGTACTGTGTTTGGCTTGGCTAATTATAGCCAGCATATCTGCTTTTGGGAAAGCAGTTAACAATTCCTGTGTAATTTACTTATTGAGACACCTAGTATGCATGAGACCAAGAAAACAAGGAGAACCTAACCCAGATGACATGCAGGTGAGGACAAGGACAGCAGGCTCCTAAGTTTGGAGAGGCGAGTTAGCCCGAGTCTGGACTGCATAGTGGACTGTCCTCAGGGAAACGGTGTCTTTCTCTCAAGTTTCTGAGCCTGATTTCTTCTGGTCTATGCTTGTGTGTCTCTGTAATTCCTTGTTTTTTAATAACTTTTTTTAGAAGTTTCAGGTTATTAGGGAAGTGGTCAACATCACTGAACAGAAAAGAGAGGGAGTGCCTGGAATATAAATTTTAATCAGTTCTGAATTTGAGAGAACAGCGGGCCTCCTTCCTCAGGACCCGGCCTACACAGGGTGAGAGGGTACAGAGATGGTGCACAGGGGCCTGGGGGGCGTGTGCAGGAGCCGCCATGCATAGGGCGCCTTCTCCTGCCTCAGCTGTCCCAGTGGCCTCAGCATCCACACTGCTGAGCACGGAGCTCTGGACAGGCCCCTCCTGAGCTGCTGGGGATTCCCCAACTTCCGTGAGGGACTCTGGGCTGGGAATGGTGAGGCTGGAGTCTCCTCTCCAGACCAGGAGGCCTCAGCCTCCTCCCACGGCCTGTAATGAGCCTGCCCGGGTTGCTCTCCACTGCCTGCTCTTCAGCAAAACAGCATTTCACGTTCCTCCAGTGAGTCACACTGCCGACATCTTCAAGTGTCAGAATAACAGAGACTTTCCAGAATTTCTGATCAACTGTCTTTTGTCTCTAAGTATACAGAGAATTTATTGAGAAGAGAGGTTACTGAGAGTTCCTGCCTCAGTCTAGTGATGGGTGAAATAGCAGCAGGTTTGTGAAAATAGGTAGAAACTTCACAGTCAAAGCGTCGGGACTGCAAACTGGAAGTTCCGTAAGATTCTGGGTCACAACCCTGCCATTAGATGGCAAACCAACCCCAGGCTAACCACAGGACACATGGTAGAAAGAGAAAATGGCAGTGACAGTTTTCTGATTAAAAGGAGGCCCTCTGTCCCTGGGTGTCTCCAGCTCTCAGGGTCACTCTCTTCTGGGACACTGATACCATGGGCCGCATCTCCCCAGGTGCTGCTTCCTGATTATTTCATGTTTCGTTGGTGATCTTCACAGCTTCACCCTGACAGAAAGACCCTTCCAGAAAGAGACGTGAAGCAGCTTGAACAGGGGTCGGCAATGGGCAAGGGTGTGCGGAGGACCAAGGGCGTGACATCTACAGATGAGGCAGCCAGCCACGCACACAGGTGGAGTGGGCTTGGGCAGGGCAAGTAGGAGGGACAGAAGCTCCTGAAGTCTCCATTCAGTGAGAGGAAGAGGCACGGTGGACAGCGTCCCCTTCAGGTGGTCCATGAGGTCTTGCAGGGTCTAGAGCTCCGTTATGACCATTGTGGTTTCTCCATCTTCACACTCAGTTTGCCATCATTTAAAATGCTATGTTCAAAATGAAAATTGGCAATTACTGACATATTAGTTTAATACCTTAGCAGAGGCACACAGCAGACACATGTGTGTGTTTGACTGGCATTAAAATATTTTTCTAAGCAAAAGCCTGGATGAGACACACCCCTCAGGCGGGATATTTGCTCACCTTTCCCTTCTTCCTGATGTCTCAGATCTTTGTGAAGAGTGCTGAGATCAGGCAGCCCCAGGTCTGGGCCTCCAGATTCTGCCTCTCCAGCGAGGCTACAGCTCTTGGCTCGCTTCAGCCCTTGTGGCGATCACTTTCCTGGCCTGGTCCTCTGCCCCACAGCTCCAGAGAGGAGCTTCAGCCTGCATTGCCCAGAGCCCCAGCCCTACAGCTCTCTGCAGCGCAGGCCTGACCACACCATAGGGCTGAGGCTGCTGCTCCATCCCTCCCATTACTGCAGTATAGAAACTCCGTGCTGCCCCCTGCACCTCTGCCCCTTTCCACTCCTGCTGCAGACAGCGCTGCTGCCTGGACAATGAGGAAGCTGAGAGCTTGTCGTGCCCAAGGCCTGGCTTCTCCCAACCTGACCACATGAAGCTCTCCTTTCCCTATGTCGGAATGTCTCCCCTAACACACACACACAGAGAGAGAGAGAGAGAGAGAGAGAGAGAGAGAGAGAGAGAGAGAGAGTAACACTGTTAGAGCACATGTGGTGAGGCATCAGCACAACCACAATCATCTTCCCTTGTTTCACGAAGCACCAGCTCT